TGTTTTAAGCCTCTTACATTCTGGAGCTGTTTGTCACATGGCAGCAGGTGAATAGCTCAGTACGTCTGCCTTTTGCTAAGGGCCAACACCAGAGTATTCTCTTTGCACCCATGGTTTAGTTTGAACAAGTTTCCTGTGGTGTCAAAGTCAGACTCATCTTTTCCTTAAATTGGTTTATAAGAAATATGCATGGGTTATAAATGACAGGGCGGCTGGGGGCAGGCCATGAAAGAAAGACAAGTGAGCCTGCCCCAGGTCTGCTGAGGAAACCAGGCTCACCTCTCAGGTGTTCAGGCCATGGTCTCAAATAGGTAAGGACATATTTCCATTAAGGAGTATGCCATGCTTCTCTCTCTCTCTCTCTCTCTCTCTCTCTCTCTCTCTCTCTCCTCTCTCCCTCTCTCCCTCTCTCCCTCTCTCCCTCTCTCTCCCTCTCTCCCTCTCTCCCTCTCTCTCTCTCTCTCTCCCTCTCTCTCCCTCTCTCCCTCTCTCCCTCTCCCTCTCTTTTGCAGGCATGTGGAAGTGCAGAAGTGCAGTCCTTCCCAGTGATGATCAGAGGTCCCTTTGCTACATAAAGTGAGACTCCAGGGATCAGTGAGCGGCCAGGAAGCGGTACTGGGGTACAGTACAGGAAGGATCCGAGAACGATCTGGCAGCAGCAGGAAGGGACATTCAGTGGACAGAAGAAAGAAGAGGTGATGGGAAAAAAGAGAATGGTCTGGCCAAACAAACTCCAGGCCCTTGGAGATACTAGTGAGGATCAGCAGCTTTCAGATTTTGAGGCTTCCCCTTGGCCTCACCCACCTGTCTTCACCTAAGAACAAGAATCCACGTGAGGATCCCTTAGGGTTACTGGGGGCTCAAACAGGGCAAGCCCCCTTCATTGCTTCTTTGGGGGTCTTGTAGCACAGCTACTCTGCACCTTTCACCTGCTGCTCAGTCTGATTCCCTGACTTCAGAAGATAAAGAGGGAGAGAGTGGAGGTAGTAGGCCAGCCACCCACCCGCTCAAAGCAACACCAGCCAGTGGAACTCTGTTGTGAAGATGGGAATGTTCTTCATATGCGCTGATCATTGCAGTAGCCATGTGGGTCTCCAGATGCAGCACCTGAAACGTGGCTCATGCCCCTGAGGAATGGAATGTTTAACTTTACTTCATTTTAATTGGAGTGTAAATGCCAATAATCAGTTTGGCTAGCAGCTTCTGAATTGGACAGTATGGCTCTTGATCCCTGTTTTGGGTCTATAAACACAATCTCTCGAGAGATTTTCTTGAGATATTTAAAAAATTAAGATATAATTTACTAGAGTAAAATTCACTTTTTTTAGTGCATAGTTCCACTGCTTTTGACAAATAATCACCACAATTGTCACCCCCCCAAAAAAACAGTGCCCACCTGTGGCTGTTGTCAACCTCTCCCCAGACCTCCAGCCCCTGGCAACCATTCGTCAGTTCCTGTGTCTATAGTTCAGCTTTTTCCAGAATGGCCTGTAAATGGGAGCATGCACGGTGTCTTGGGCTCCACCCATGTCCTGTGTGTGCACCTTGCTCCTTTTTGTTGCTGTGTGGAATTCCACTGTGTGGTTGAATCACAGTGAGTTTATCTACCCCCAGTGGAGGTTCACTGGGTTGTCAGGTTGTTTTTGGTCTGGGGTGATTATGAATAATCCACTACAAATACTCATGTCTGGGTCTTTGGGTCAATGCAAGTTTTTATTTCACTTGGGTCAAAACCTAATAATGAGATTGTGGCTCACACGGTAAGTTCACTGAACTTTATGAGAAGCTGCCAAACTGTCCCCCAGTTTGCATTCCAGCAATGGCTGGCCTCACCACTTTCCTTCAGCAATTTTAGTAGATGTGTAGTGATACCCCATTGTGGTTTAATTTGCTTCTGTGGGGGCCCAGCCTACAGCCAAGGCTGAGCCCCACTCTAGCTGGACAACGCCCTAAAGATGGCGCCTGCTTCCTGCTCACCACCCTTTCCCCTCTTCCCTGTTGGGGATTGGCCCAGCAGACTTTCGTACCCGTGCACAGCTCATGCTGCCCGCTTAGAGTGGCGCGTGACACCTATCCGCTTAAAGGTCACGCATGATACTGTCCTGGATTGGTTGGGTGACTGAATATAAGGGAGCCCACCGGGAGGGAGAGGAGCTTCCCGACAACTGCTGTAACCGCCGTGAGAGATTAGACAATAAAGTCTAGAGAAGAATCAAGACCTTGGGCGTGTTGCTTCGGTCCCAAAAGGGTCGTGACAGCTTCCTGGCAATTACTGATATTGAGCATCTTTTCGTGTGCTTGCTCATCATCCATACATCATCTTCGGTGAAGGATCTATTCAAGAGGTTGTGTCTTTTTTTTTGGTCTTGTCACCTCCCAATACAGCACCTTAGATTCTGTTCCTTTTTGTTTCTGCGACCAGTTCCAAGGGCTCCTTCCTATCAGCCTAAGAGCCTGGATGTTGCAAGCACCCAAAGGCTGACTAGATTCACCCTTGCAGGCTTTTTATTTTTCCTTTTTTGAATGAATGCTCTGTAAAACAGCTTTCTAGGCCTGGAGAGGCTGGAGAGAGTGACAGGAGAATTCAGTTTCCCTATTTTGGTTCTTTAATGACTTCTGATTGGCCCTTTGCTTGGGCCTCTGTTGAAGCTGTCAGTATATCCAGTGGCCTGCTGTTGAAGGAGAAAGGGATGCAAACGATGAAATCGGTGTCTAGACGTGACAAGGTCACCATCAGTCAGCCTGGCAGTGAGTCAGTTTGTGATAAGTCCTTACATTTAATATTGAGTCAGGCCTGAGGGGTCTGGAAGCACAGATGCACCGACTGTCACCAAACAGACCTGTCATTAAAAAGTGAGAGGTTGCCTCAGATGAGCCAGAGGAAAGAACCCTAGAGGCTGGAGGCAAATTTCACTTTTTAAAAAGAGCTGTGGTAAAATGCACATCACATAAAATTCACCAGCTCAACCATTTTCAGTGCCTAGTCCAGTGTGAATTAAGCAAGTTCACATTATTGTGCAGCCCCCACCACCTGTTTCCGAAACTTTTTCACCTTGCAAAATGGAAACTCTGTCCCCACTAAACGCTGACTCCCCCATCCCATCCCCGGTCCCCTGGCACCGACCATCTACTTTCACCTTCTCAATGACCTTGACACTTTAGGGATCTCACATAAGGGGAATCAGACAGTATTTTGACTTTTTGCTGTCACTCAGCACAATGCCCCCAAGGTTCATCCATGTTGTAGCAGGTGTCAGAATTTCCTTTCTTTTGAAGGCTGAGTCATATTCCACGGCCTGTATATACCACAAGTATAAATGGATTTGGACTTGCTCCCACCTGATGGCCGCTGTGAATAATGCTGCTATGAATATGGGTGTACAAATATCTTTTCAAGACCCTGCTTTCAATTCCTTTGTTTTTCTACTTAGAGAATTGGGGGAATCATATGGTCATCTTATTTGATTTTTTGAGGAACCTCTGTACTGTTTTCCATAGCAGCTGCATCTTTTACATTCTCACCACCAGCGTGTATGTAAATGTCTTTGCATGAGATAAATATTGCTTGAATACCCCAACGTCTCTTCATCTACCTCCTTCAGCCTTTCTTGCCTGGACCCACTAGCTTCCTAACTACCTTCCACAGTCACTGACCGCTTCCCAATTCAGGCTCAACACAATAGCCAGTGATTTTATTTCACATATGTGGGTTTGCATGCTCCCCTTCTGCCTAAAACCCCTCAGTGGTTTCCACGACTCTTGGGATCAAACCCAAATCCTTATATGATACAACATGCTTCCCCTTCCCCTTTAGCTAAATCTGGTCAGCCCGCACCCACGTGGTCATTCTCACTTCTGCGCACAGTGGCCTGTCAGTCCGTCCAAGGCACCTTGCTTCCTTCCTTAGCTGGAATGCCATCCTCCCCGCCTGTCCCCCCAACTCCCAGCCCCTCCCTATTTATCTGTGGGTTTCAGTTCAAGGGTCATTCCCTAGAAAGAGATTCCTGACCCCATTTTTACTGTCCTCCTTCCTCAAGTAGGTTATCTTGTGATAGCTTCTCATAAAAATGTGGTACATGCCCTCCAGACATTTCTATTTGTGTCCATATAGTCACTCCTGATACTTGGGTTAGTAACTACAGCAGCCCCAGGCTGGAGAGTGGGTAAGCAGACAAGCTCCCCACCCTAGGCAGGCCACATCGACACAGTCACATGTCACCACTCAGCAAAGCCTCACAGGCCTTGAGACAGTGCTAATTTTATATTGATTAGTGTTTGCATTTGACTCCTGTCCGCATCTCCCCATAGACTGCAGCTCCACCAGGGAGGGCCTCTTTTCTCACACTCAATAACTATTAAACAATGGAAATGTGGAAATATTGACATCTTTTTAGGGGGACCTGGCTAAATTAGGAGGGCATGCCCAAGACACTGAAATACTAAGAGGTCCGAACGACGCCCTAACTGTCCGGGCATCTGCCTGCCCTGATCAGACTGTAAGGGCTTGCAGGGCTGTCAGTATCCCTGAACATTTGACGTGGCAATTTTTGGAGTAAATGGCTCCGGAGCACAGGGCGCACGGGCTTGCAAGCATCTTTGCGCTAACACGTTACAGAAAGCAAACCCTTAGTTTTGGTGGAAGTCTGAAGGCTCTTCATGGGTGGCGGATGGAAAGACTCGGGCCCCGGAGACTGCCGAGGGCGTTTGTCCCTTTCTGCAGTGACCCAGAATCAACGCTTTACGGTTAGGCGTTAGGCGGCGGCCCTCCCCCGCGCCCCACGAAGGACGGAAAGGCAGCCGCAGCCGCGGGCGGCGAGAGGGCGGCGAGGCAGCCCGGCGAGCTCCTCCAAGCCCCGGCGGGGTCCGCGGGCGGCGGGCGGGGCGCGCCGCCTCCGGCTCCGCTCCGCGCGATCCGTCCCGGGATCCCGCGCCGCCCGCCCGCGCCCGGAGCCCCGCCCCACGCCGCGCCGCCGCCGGAGGCCGCTCGGAGCTGCGCGAACATGGCCGAAGTCGGCGAGGACAGCGGGGCCCGCGCCCTGCTGGCGCTGCGCTCGGCGCCCTGCAGCCCCGTGCTGTGCGCCGCCGCCGCCG